GTGTGTGTGTGTGTGTGTGTGTGTGTGTGTGTGTTTGTTTATATGTGTGTGTGTGGGGGGGGGGGGCTCCCTGCCGTCTCACACCATCTGCTCTTCTCTGTGAGTCGATGAGTTGACGGAGGAACTGAACTGATCCCAAACTCTCAGACAACAGGAAGCAGTTCTCTGCTGAGGAAACGTTTCGCTGTTGCTAGGAGACGAATCGATGAAAACGCGCCTACGTGTGATCGGACACTCGGCGGGTTTGAGGTGCTTCCATGAGGTAGATGAGGAGGCGAGGAAGCCTGGACGTGAGGATACTTCCTCATTAGACAGGAAGGAAGGAAAGATCCAGGGGCGGGGCCAGTGCCCCTCTGAAATCTGATTGGCCCCTGAAATGCATCATGTCCTGTCATTGGTTCACACGAGACTGAACGTTAAAAACTTATATGTGATTGTCTCTTCCTGTCTGCAGCTCGGCCGTCATGTCTAAAGCGACGGTGAAGAAGCTGCACTGGCGCTCCAAGGTAAAGCTCCTGCTTCACCTGCGATGACAACGATTGTCTGAACGTGTCGTGAACTTTGACCCGAGTTCTTCCTCTGTGTCGTCTCCAGGTGCAGGAGAGCTTCGTCCCTCTGGGCGGCGGCTCAGGAGAGCTGGGTCTGGCGATTGGGGGCGGGGCCGACTACGGCGAGTTCCCCTTTGTCACAGCAGCACCTGGGGGCGGGGCCACAGTGGGCGACATCATCCTAGAGATCGGGGGGACGCCTGTATTAGGGATGACCCTCGGTGATGTCAGAGGAGTCCTCAACTCCTGTCCTCATCCAATCAGAATCAAGACCGTGTCACCAGGTCAGAGGACACGTCAGTTACATATCTGATTTCAGGGTTTTTTACTTTAAACACAATTAAAAGTTTATAAAACGATTGACAACACAGATTTACAGCGTGTCCCTCTGACATGCAGCACTATGATGAACTGAACCCGTGTGTGACATTGTTTCCTGTGTGTGTGTGTCAGGTTCGTCGCTCTGTAAAGACCTCAGGTTGTATCTCAGCAAGTGTTTCACTCCAGGATCCATGGACAGTCAACTACAGCAGCTGATCAGAGAGAACCTGTACCTGAGAGCTGTACCTTGTACGACACACACACACACACGCACGCACGCACGCACGCACGCACGCACGCACACACACACTCACACACACACACACACACACACACACACACACACACGCACGCACGCACGCACACACACACACACACACTCACACGCACACACACACACAGCTGTTGTAAAGGTGTGTGTAGTGAAGTGTCCTCAGACAAAGAGAGAAAACACTGAGAGGAATTTAAGCACCGCCCCTCTGACCTTTGACCTTTAACAAGTGGAACAAAGTAAAAACACTCTGATCAGAGGTTTAATTACATCACAGCTCCACGTGTCACACACTTCACAACAGGAACACGCGTGTTGTCCTGCTTGATGACATCACGCCGTCCTCCTCTGCAGGTACGACCCGGCAGCCTCGGGACGGGGAGATCTCGGGCGTGGACTACAACTTCGTGTCCATCGAGGAGTTTTTCTCTCTGGAGGAGTCCGGAGCTCTGCTGGAAAGCGGCAAATTCAAAGGTACGAAGACCAAACGTCTGGTTCCTGTGATTCTAACGTGTCCGTGTGGAGACGTGCTTTTACAGTGCAGCGTAACCATGGTGACTGGTTGTGAATTTTTAACAGTGTTCAGGCGGGAAGAGGATTTTCTGTCTCTAATCCTTCAAACCTCAAAAAACCAAACCTGATTCACTCGCTGTGCCCCCCCCCCTAATCTGCCAGGATTAATGAGACTAAAATAGAAACTCTCCTTCAGATGACAGGACGTTTGTTGTCACAGCAACAATAATAAACAAAACGCGTCTCTCGTGTTCTGTCTTCAAACTGTCACATGTCTTCCTGTTTCTGTGTCACCGTCCAATCACAGGGAACTACTACGGGACGCCTCGCCCTGTCCACATCGGCCCGGAGAGTCCACCAATCACGTACCAGGAGCATCGGAACCTGCTGCGGAACTTCAGGACGAGGAGCAAGTCTCTGAGTAACCTGGAGAAAGCTGTGGAGGAGGGAGACAACAGCGAGGAGGACAGCGGACTGTCGGGTACTTTCAATCCGAAGTTACTTCAGTATTTCTGCTGTTTTTTACTTTGCATTAAAGTAAATTTTGCTCCGATACATTTCTTTGAAAAAGTTACTCTGCAGAATTACATCGGTTCTTCTGTGCACGTGTGAGAAGAGCTGGAGCACAAGCAACAAAATATCTGAGAGCAAGCGCTCAGTTTGAGCACAAGCAGTGTCTGTTAGCGAGCGCAGGGTTTTCATATGAGGAGACATATGATGTTTTCAGTTTTTCTTTCCTCCTGAAGCTCCGTCCTCTGACTCTTTTTCAGCAGGTTCAGCCGGAGCCCCACCCACCACCCTCCCTCTTAGCCAATCATGGGAGTCAGCGGCGGGGAGTCGGGAAGGGATGATGAACGGAGGAGTAGGAAGAGGATTGGGGAGAGGAAGAGGAGGAGGAGGTCCCCTACCTGAAAACTGGGAGCTGGCCTTCAGTGATTCAGGAGAGCCGTACTACATCAAGTGTGTTTCTACATCAACGACTCAGCAATTAAACCACCAACAATCCGATTTGTTTCATTTTGCTTATAACTGAATTAAATGGTTTGATTCCGACGATGGGAAAATAGATTTCTGTTGAAACTCTAATGATTAAAGCTGAAGCTAAAAGATTTTATCATTTAATCACACATCCTGACCACTTCCAGTCCTCCTACATTTCCCATGATTCAATCTGACTGTGGACAAGATGGGACAGATGATGATGATGATGATGATGATGTTTCTCTCTGACAGTCATAAGTCAAAGACGACCAGCTGGCTGGATCCTCGACATCTCAACAAAGAGACGACTTCCTGTACCGAGCGTGAGTTTGATTCTTTGATATTTTCTCTGTTTGGTTTGATCAGTTCTGAT